CTCTTATCCAGAGCGACTTTCAGGGTTAGGGTTAAGTGCCTTGCTTAAGGGCACATTGACAGATTTTTCACCTAGTCGGCTCGGGGATTAGAACCAGCAACCTTTCGGTTACTGGCACAACGCTCTTACCCACTAAGCTACCTGCCGCCCCACATTCACCTCTGAAGGTAAATAATGTACTTACATTCAGTCATTGTCCTCTAATTTGTCATCCTGAGGGTCCCAGAGATAAAATGAAGCATAGTTTTGTTTGACAAAATCCATTTTTATATTCAAATGTAGGAACTGGGTTCTACAGTTTGACCCCACTGCTGTCTGGCTCTACCTCGTGGTGTATTTCCAACAAATTGGCTTTTCACGGATAAAATCAATGTGTGATGACTTGGTGGACACAAAGTTTTAATGTACAGAATATTGAACTTTCGATTCTTATGTTTCCATCGCATTTTCAACTCTACCAATAGTTTTGTCACGAGCAAATGTGTACTATGGTCGTGGCATGTGCGCTCTAGCCAGCAGATCCCAGATACAGTGTTTAGGCTGTGCGGATATAGTCTACATCAGGGGTAGGCAACCCTGGTCCTGGAGTGCCACAGGCACTTCATGTTTTTGATTTAACTGACCTGGAAAACCAGGTGTGGTGAATTTAGGCAACTGAACTGCTGAATTACCTCAGTTGGTCAGGTGTGGTGCCTAGTTGGAATAAAATCCAGCAATACCTGCGGCACTCCAGGAACAGGGTTGCTTACCCCTGGTCTATATGATGAGCTTATTATGGATTTTTTTATTTGTAAAACGGCAGTCAAGTATTGATCATAATGTCACCAGAATCAGATCCTCGATTTATTGGAAAGGAGCATCAAGATCACTTTCAACACCCTGTGAAGGTGTTAAGTTATTTAATCTGTAGCCTAATAAACTGCATGTTTTCGAGTCATAGTGGGAGGACCACACTCATCGTTCCACTCCAAGTTTACTTTGATATGATGGTTTGTCGAACGGACAAATGATCGTCGGCATTTATAAAACTGATTTTTTTTTAAATTCAGTGACTTTTTATTCACATAACTGTGGATAGAAATGTGGTTAAAGAGACAAACCAAAGATATCCCATATGCGTCACGTCTTTACTCAACATTTTACAGCTTGTTTCTCTTACAGCATTGCGGACAAAAGCGTTGTTATAGATCGCTTTAAATAATCAGGTCCATAATTATTTTCTAAATCTTAAGCTAACAAGGGGTAGGCCTAAGCCACAATACCCTCACACATACACCCTCAATTCGAGTCCTGGTTTTAACTTAACACCCTTCACTCACTGACATAGATATTTACATTTTAGTCATTTAGCAGATACTCTTATCCAGAGCGACTTACAATTAGTGCATTCATCTTAAGATAGCTAGGTGAGACAACACATGACAATCGTACCAAGTACATTTTCCCTCAAAGTATTTATCAGCAAAGTCAGAGCTAGTTGGAAAAGATAAGTGTTATTTTTTGGGGAGGGAGGTTGGTGTCGGAGGCACCGTGAGAGTTATTTAAAATACTCTCCGTTTTCGAAAGATGGGCAGGGACTCCGCTGTGCTGACTTTACGGGGAAGCTTGTTCCACCATTGGGGTGCCAGGACAGAGAAGAGCTTTGACTGGGCTGAGCGGGAGCTGCCCTACCATTGGTGTGGGAGGGCCAAGACACCAGAGGTGGCGGAACAGAGTGCTCGGTTTTGGATATAGGGTTTGAGCATATCCTGAAGGTAAGGAGGTGCAGTTCCCCTTGCTACTCCATAGGCAACCACCAGGGTCTTGAAGATGATTTGAGCTTAAACTGGAAGCCAGTGGAGTGTGCGGAGGAGCGGGGTGACATGGGAGAACTGAGGAAGGTTGAACACCAGGTGGGCTGCGGCATTCTGGATAAGTTGCGGGGGTTGGATGGCACAAGCGAGGAGCCCAGTCAGAGAGTTGCAGTAGGGACTTGCGCCACTTCCTGTGTGAGGAAAGGTTGTACTTGCTTTGATGCAAGTCCTTGCTCAGAGCCTAGAGCCGTGCCCTGGGGGACACCAGTAGTGAGAGCAGACACCGATCCTCTCCACGCCACCTGGTAGGAGCGACCTGCCAGGTAGGATGCAATCCAGTAGTGTGGAGAGCCTGAGACGCCCAACCCTGAGAGGGTGGAGAGGAGGATCTGATTGTTCAAGCTGGTGAAGGCAGCGGATAGATCTTGGAGGATGAGAACAGAGTCGGCTTTGGCAGAGACGAGAGCAGTGGTGTAAAGTACTTAAGTAAAAATACTTATGTCGTTTTTTGGGGGTATCTGTACTTTGGACAACTTTTACTTCACTACATTCCTAAAGAAAATAATGTACTTTTTACTCCATACATTTTCCCTGACACGCAAAAGTACTCGTTACATTTGACAAGAATATTGTCCAATTCACACACTTATCAAGAGAACATCCCTGGTTATCCCAACTGCCTCTGATCTGGCGGACTCACTAAACACAAATGTGTGTGCCCCTGGCTATCCGTCTGGTTTACTTAATATAAGGAATTTGAAATGGTTAATGCTTGTACTTTTACTTTTGATACTTAGCTATTTTTAAAACCAAATACTTTTAGACTTTTTGTTTTTAGGAGGGTAAAACAATTACCATTTTATTATAAATTGATAATACAAAAAAAGCATTGTAAATACATTAACATGGGTACGTTTACATGCACAATAATCAGATATTAAAATGATTATGACAGGCAATGTATGTAAATAGTCATGTAAACACCTTATTCTGCTCATCTTAAATCGGCTTAAGGTCAAAATGGAAGTAAGTTTACGCCAAATAAAACATCTGTTTTTTTTTAGCAAACTTTTGAATTATTAGGACTTGTAAACAACTTAATTGGCGTTCCAGCAATGTATCTGATCTGTGCATGTGCCAGCACCAGTAGCGCAACCCTTCCTCTAATGGGCGAGTGAAGTGAGTTCGGAGAAACTGAAAATATGCATCTTAGGAATAGTTTTCACACACTTTATACTGTATGTCCGAACTCTGAATCAAATATGCTTCACAAAAAACATCGTCACTATGGTTGCCCGATTTCAGATGTGTCCATGTACACAGGATTATTAGGGAAATCATTCTTCTTGCAAAGCATGTAGGCCTAAATGTTTTAAAACAATCTATTATACACTGCTCAAAAAAATAAAGGGAACACTTAAACAACACAATGTAACTCCAAGTCAATCACACTTCTGTGAAATCAAACTGTCCACTTAGGAAGCAACACTGATTGACAAATTTCACATGCTGTTGTGCAAATGGAATAGACAACAGGTGGAAATTATAGGCAATTAGCAAGACACCCCCAATAAAGAAGTGGTTCTGCAGGTGGTGACCACTTCTCAGTTCCTATGCTTCCTGGCTGTTGTTTTGGTCACTTTTGAATGCTGGCGGTGCTTTCACTCTAGTGGTAGCATCAGACGGAGTCTACAACCCACACAAGTGGCTCAGGTAGTGCAGCTCATCCAGGATGGCACATCAATGCGAGCTGTGGCAAGAAGGTTTGCTGTGTCTGTCAGCGTAGTGTCCAGAGCATGGAGGCGCTACCAGGAGACAGGCCAGTACATCAGGAGACGTGGAGGAGGCCGTAGCAGGGCAACAACCCAGCAGCAGGACCGCTACCTCCGCCTTTGTGCAAGGAGGAGCACTGCCAGAGCCCTGCAAAATGACCTCCAGCAGGCCACATGTGCATGTGTCTGCTCAAACGGTCAGAAACAGACTCCATGAGGGTGGTATGAGGGCCCGACGTCCACAGGTGGGGGTTGTGCTTACAGCCCAACACCGTGCAGGACGTTTGGCATTTGCCAGAGAACACCAAGATTGGCAAATTCGCCACTGGCGCCCTGTGCTCTTCACAGATGAAAGCAGGTTCACACTGAGCACATGTGACAGACGTGACAGTCTGGAGATGCCGTGGAGAACGTTCTGCTGCCTGCAACATCCTCCAGCATGACCGGTTTGGCGGTGGGTCAGTCATGGTGTGGGGTGGCATTTCTTTGAGGGGCTGCACAGCCCTCCATGCGCTCGCCAGAGGTAGCCTGACTGCCATTAGGTACCGAGATGAGATCCTCAGACCCCTTGTGAGACCATATGCTGGTGCGGTTGGCCCTGGGTTCCTCCTAATGCAAGACAATGCTAGACCTCATGTGGCTGGAGTGTCAGCAGTTCCTGCAAGAGGAAGGCATTGATGCTATGGACCGCCCGTTCCCCAGACCTGAATCCAATTGAGCACATCTGGGACATCATGTCTCGCTCCATCCACCAACGCCACGTTGCACCACAGACTGTCCAGGAGTTGCCGGTTGCTTTAGTCCAGGTCTGGGAGGAGATCCCTCAGGAGACCATCCGCCACCTCATCAGGAGCATGCCCAGGTGTTGTAGGGAGGTCATACAGGCATGTGGAGGCCAAACACACTACTGAGCCTAATTTTGACTTGTTTTAAGGACATTACATCAAAGTTGGATCAGCCTGTAGTGTGGTTTTCCACTTTAATTTTGAGGGTGACTCCAAATCCAGACCTCCATGGGTTGATGCATTTGATTTCCATAATTTTTGTGTGATTTTGTCAGCACATTCAACTATGTAAAGAAAAATTTATTTAATACGATTATTTCATTCATTCAGATCTAGGATGTGTTGAAGTGTTCCCTTTATTTTTTTGAGCAGTGTATATTAATCTATCCACAATAATCGTATTATTGTGTGCATTTAACCCTGCTCATTAATAATTGTGAGCTATGTTTCTAGACTCTCTCTTGGGACTGCTCAGTAACCATTGCCTCTTAGGTCTCAACAGTCTCCAGTTTAATTGTAAACAAACATACACATTTTACCTCTGCGCTGACATGTGTAGTACTGTTAATCTCCATGATGGGTTTACCATTGATGACCATACAGAACCCTGAGCAACTTAATGAAACCCGTTCCTGTCGGGGAGGCCATCGTTATGGCTTTGTGACCTCATCAGCCTCATCCTCTGATGAATCCTGCGTAAGGTCCACAGTGGCGACTTCCGTTGACACAGCACTGGTGGTTGCAGTCACACTACTACCACTGTATACCTCCATCTTCTCCAAAAGTGCAGAAGATTGTGTTCTTCTCACGCCATCTATAACAAATCCCCAAGAGCCGTCAGCCAGGTATTCTACCTCTGTATTGTCCTGAAAGCCCTCCAACACCAGGATCACAGTCAGTAACCCATCGATAAGGAACTGGCTCGTGACACACTGGGCAGGTCCAGGTGGGCATCTTCTCATTCATCTGCAGGTAGAGCGTCCCGTCGAAGCATTGGAGGTGGGCGCACTTACGCCCCCTGCAGGGCACTGACAGACTCATCTTCCCCAGCGGACAGATAAGGGACACTCTGCAAAATGTCACTCTCCACTGATTGGCTCTTCAGTTGACTGAGGGGGACCGCACCTTCACCAGGTACACAGCCACAGAGTACCTTTTGCTACATCTCTCCCACCAGACACATAAACGAGATGAGGGGAGGAGGCTGAGAGAAACTGCTGGTGTTATGTTGATAAGTGTACAGTGTCTGTGAAGTTCAGGTAGGGGTATGAATTTCTGATTAACTCTGATCCACAGGCATGGTGGGTATTGATCCTCCTCGTACCCAAGACTCTCTGTGAAGCAGAATCTGAGAACCACCTGGACACTCGGCACACCTGGTCGCAGCTCCTTGCAGTTTCTGTTCTGCTCCACTTGCTTTGGCGTCAGCCTGATGAACTCCTGGTTCTGCATGTCAGAGAAGAAGCCCATCAGTTGTGTGGGGGGTAGGATTGTCCCCAGGGTTTGGTAGAAGGGAAGGGGTACCATCTGGAACAATCCAGGATTGTGTGTGAGATGGTGTATGTGGGGTTGTGTGTTGGCCCCACCACCGGCGCCACGGTCTGCTCCTCCTGGTGGCTTCCAGGAGTCCTCTGGCTGTTGCCAGGAACTGTCTGGTAGGCGTAGCGTTCCTGGTAGAGCTGGCGCAAGACTGTGAGCAGGTGGGAATTGCACTGGGTCTGTATAACCCCCACAGCTCTCACCAGCAGATTGGACTTTATCCCACTCTTGGTCTGGCCCATGGCAGCCATTAGAGAACGTAGCTCTGTGACACGGAGATGCGTCAACATCCTAATTGCTTTTATGTCCTCCACCATCTGAAATTACTTACTCTTAGAAGAGTTACACGATGGATCAGAAAAATGAACGGTACTTCAACAGATCAGGTGCTCTTGATTGATTGGCTCGCCATGTGTGTCAAAGGTTGGTTGTGTTCCCCCTTTTAGACTTTTACTCAAGTAGCATTTTACTGGGTGACTTTCACTTTTACTTGAGTCATTTTCTAGTAAGGTGTCTTTATTTTTACTCAAGTATGACAATTGAGTACTGTTTCCACCACTGGTGGAAGAGAATGTAGGTGGCGAATACCATTACCAGGCCCTCCTTAGGGATGTAGAAGTGCTTAATGCAACGGAGGAGGAACAGATGTCGGCTGTTCCTTGAGGTAGGCCACAAGATATACTGACACTGTCCTACAGCATATCCTAATACCTCACTACCTGATGTCTATTAAAGAGGAAGTTGCCTAGCCATCTGGTGAGTGATGGACGAAGCCCGAGGTCTTACATCCTGGTGATGGCGAGGCATGGTCGAAAGCTTTGCTGAATTCGGCGGTCACCAAGGATCAGATAGAACCATGCTTATCCTGGGACTTGAAGAGATCGTTGGTTAGGTCCACCAGACCGTGTCTTGTCGATCGGCCTTGTAGACATCCTTACTGTTGGGTGTCAATCTGGGGTATGATATTGGTCAGAGCCCATTCAGTGATAAAGCTCTCAGCTTCTTTGCTCAGGAGGTACAGTACCAGTCAAAAGTTTGGACATACCTACTCACTCCAGGGTTCTTCTTTATTTTTACTATTTTCTACATTGTAGAATAATAGTGAAGACATCAAAACTATGAAATAACACATATGGAATCATGTAGTAACCCAAATAGCCACCCTTTTGCCTTGTTGACAGCTCTACAGCGATACGCCATCCCGGTATCCCTTTACTTTCCAAAACCCAGGGCCCAGGGATTATTTTTTTTTTAAAGCCTGAAATAATCATATGTACACAGCACAACAACGGTCCTTGAAAGCACAGTGCTTCCCTTCGGAATAATTGTACTACCATCAAATATCCCCATCTCTTGATAATGTATCACATGACAGACTAAGTCATAATCTTTAAATTGTCTTTTGAGACTCTGTGGCAGAGCATACTGGGTTAGTCTAATTTGGGTTAGACTATTTATTTTTTGTCTTGACACTATAACATGTAGTAGCCTAACCATTCTGTTGGAATTTTCCATGTTTCACTGTTAGGTTCTACCTTTTCACTGCATCTTATTTTAGATAAAAGTGCATTGCACAAGCCACAACATGTCGCTCATAATACATCATATGCTTCACACGCTTTCTTCATCTAACAAGAGAAGGATGTGTTAATAACAACTACAAAAAATACAAAATGAGGATACTGCTACTACTACTCCACTTTTTTAACATACTAAAACACAAATACACATGACAGGTCGGCTAAATGATTCTGGACATAGATGTCAAAACATGAGAAGGAGAAGTTATTAAGGGTAGAAAAATAGGAAACAACCTTATGTCTTTGTATTACTTTGAATGAAAATCACTTCTATATTTCACATATCGGTAACTGCAAAGACTGACTATAGCCTATAATGGCCTTAATCTGGATTTACACTATACTAGGCATACTCTATAGAGGCTCCGCAAATGTAACTTTTAGCAACAAAGCAATTTCACTTTGTCATTTTATTATTGATCAGATTAACACCTGGTAGTGTGAAAACCAAGCCTCTGCTGACAACACTGGCTGACTAATAATAACTACCCTCTACTCAATTGACCTCCAGTTGGTCACAAAAGCCCTCACAGACCGTGGGCATCGAACACATTCAACAATAACAGGAATCAGACAACAAAATAAATTAGGACATCATTTACAAGATGTGTCAGGTGCAGCGGTAGGACAGAGTCAGGCGCAGGACACAGAAGTAAATACCTAAATGGGTATCTCCCCTGATCTGGGAATGTTTTCAATACAGACTCCTTTTATTTTTACATTTAAGTCATTTAGCAGATGCTCTTATCCAGAGCGACTTACACTTTGTGAGTGCATACATTATTGTCTTATTTTTCATACTGGCCCCCCATGGGAATCAAACCCACAACCCTGGCGTTGCAAACGCCATCCTCTTCCAACTGAGTTACATCCCTGCCGGCCATTCCCTCCCCTACCCTGGACGAATTGTGCGCCGCCCCATGTCCCTGATGAGACCACTGTCGCCATCTGATCCTGCTCAGATGAGGCATGACAAATAATTACCTTGGTGTACATTTATACATTATATTATCCAAGAAAATTCAATGGTTCAATAATTGAAATGACCATTATTCCCAGATCACAGACTGAAGCCTACCCATCAACTCAAGATGGAACTTTGTATCCATTCACTGATTTATGATAACATACTGCAAAATTCACCTGAGCTCAGTAGACTGGTCTTCCCTGGCTGTCTGACCCTGCTGGGACACCTGTCACCATCTGATCCTGCTAAGAGACATGATGAGCATAGTGTTGTGTACTGACTGTGCACCATGACAGTGAAGCCTGTAAAGCTGTTTATACCGTGTCAGTGTGAAAAGTAGAGAATTAGCTAGGGAAACTGACAGATCAATGACGTTACATTACTATAGTGACTAATAAAACTCACATTACGTCAAAATATATCGGTTTTCAATCGTTTGGCCGCTGGTTTCATTGTTTGATTCAGGTCTAATGTGATTGAGACAAAAGTAATAGCTAAAGTTAGAAACGTGTGCCACAATTATTGGCACCCCTAGAAATTCTTATGAGTAAAATCTAACTGTAGTATATTCCCATTCATATTTTAAGTTCACCTGAGTGATTTTGTAAGTCGCTCTGGATAAGAGCGTCTGCTAAATGACGTAAATGTAAATTAGGAACACTTAAGTGGTAAGCCATGACTTCCTGTTTCACTGGGGTATAAATATGTGACACACAGGCCAAGTTCCCATATTCATCCATCACTACGGGAAAGACCCGAGAATACAGTAATGATGTGCGACAAAAGGTGGTTGAGCTGCACAAATCAGGAAACGTCTTAAAGAAAATAGCTCAACAGTTGAAAATGCCCATTTCCACTATCAGGGCAATAATTAATAAGTTTAAAGCAACTGGAGATGTTAACAATCAGCCTGGAAAAGGATGTGTCTATATTGACCCCATGCACAGTGAGGAAGATGGTTTGAGTGGCCAACAAATCTCCAAGGATCACAGCTGGAGAATTGCAGACGAATAGTTGGTTCTTGGGGTCAGAAAGTCTCCAAACCTATGATCAGACACCACCTACATAACCACAAGTTGTTTGGGAGGGTTGCCATAAAGCCTTTGCTGTCATCAAACAACAGACTCAAGTGCCTACAGTTTGCCAAACGTTACTGGATTTGTCAATGGGACCGGGTTCTATGGTCCGATGAGACCAAAATATAGCTTTTTGGAAAGAAACACCAGAGGTGAGTTTGGCATAGACAGAAAGATAGCCATGCAGAAAAGGACCTCATCCCCACTGTGAAGTATGGTGGTGGATCTTTGTTGTGGGGCTGTTTGTCTTCCAAAGGCCCTGGAAAACTTGTTAGGATACATGGTATCATGGACTCCATCAAGTACCAGCAGATATTAAATCAAAACCTGACTGCCTCTGCTAGGAAGCTTAAACTGGGCCATGGTGGATCTTCCAGCAGGACAATGATCCAAAGTACACCTCAAAATCAACACAAAAATGGTTCACTGACCACAGAATCAAGGTTTTGCCATGGCCTTCCCAGTCCCCTGACCTACACCCCAACCTGTGGGATGAGATGAAGAGAGTCCACAAGCGTGGACCTCAGAATCTGAAGAGATTTTGTATGGAGGAATGGTCTCAGATCCCGTGCCATGTGTTTACAAATCTCATTACGCATTATAGTAGAAGACTCAGAGCTGTTATCTTGGCAAAGGGAGGTTGCACAAAGTATTGAATCAAGGGATGCCAATAATTGTGGCACACATATATTTAAGACAAATATATATTTTTTTTCATTTAGTTTACTTTAAATAAAGGTTTGATTTTTGTCTATTTTGAATGAAAGACCAAGAGGATAAACATACTTTTTTTTCACAGCCAGTTTTACTAATATTTACCAAGGGGTGCCAATATTAGTGGAGGGCACTGTATGTATTGTATCTGTCCCTAACTATATAAACAATTTAAAATCATGCCACTGGCTTTAGCCAGTACAAACTATATTACAGCCAGTTCTGAAGTTATAGGATGGTGCAACAAGTCATGCATGCGAAGAGCTTTTGTCCTCTTTTGTCCTGGTCAATTTTGACTATGATTTATGTGTTTTACTATTTTGTTAAAGGCCTACTGTAGGTTCTGACCGTTATAATGCGTGAACACGTATTTTTGTGGTTATGTTTATTATTAAACACAGTCCTATAGCCTAACATAACATGTTTCCGACACTTGCAAAATTGTTTCAGCTAGATGTTTTTTTTTTTTTTACTAAATATGTTTCAACAATTTATTAAACATTGTAGAAAGCTACAGTCTAATCTTTGTTTTTTATGTCAGAGTTTGCTTATCCTGGATGAGCAGGAAAACAAATAGACATAGAGAAACACAGAGCACCACGTCAATGTAGACATTTAGGGCTGGTTTCCCAGACACAAATTAAGAATGAACATTTTAATTGAACGTTTTTTAGTCAAGGACCAGTCTGACAAGATTTGAATCTCTAATCACCTGTCAGCTTAGATCTTAGCTAGCTACACAATCTATTCTAAATGTGCATCAGTCAGGCTTCAGACCAAGGCATAGCACCATCTCAGCAGCATCACTGGTTTTAAATTAAGCAGTGGTGGAAAAAGTACCCAATTGTCATACTTGAGTAAATGTGAAGATACCTTAATAGAAAATGACTCGGGTAAAAGTCACCCAGTAAAAT